CATTCATTACACTGAAGTGTCATCAAGTGCAGCTATTTGCTGGGCCAATAGAGATGCATGTCTCACAGAGCTTTGTAGAGTGGGTACACAGGAATAACCCAATTGTACAAAGCACATGGATTTGGCCTAATCTTTCCGAGAGGCAGTTGACAAGTTGACAAGAAGGTGTGAGTAAAGTGGGTGAGTAACTCATACCTTCTTGTCAACTGTCTGTAATGGGCCACTCTCATTACCACTTCAAAAGTTATTTTTCCTCCCTTGGTATCCTGCCGTTAATTGATTTATCTCGTTAGACTGACCTTACACTTGGTAAGGCAACCCCCATCCTTTCATGTATTTATACCTGCTCCTGTATTTTCCACTCCATGCATCTGATGAAGTGGATTCTAGACCACGAAAGCTTATGCCCAAATAAATTTGTTAGTCTAAGGTGCCACAAGGACTCCTCGTTGTTTTTGCTGATACAGACTAACACAGCTACCACTCTGAAATATGTGTTATATGTTTCCCTCTAGTGGCTGGTCTACATAAGAGGCAATAACTTACTACTTTTAGCTGCAGTGTTGGAGGTCTGTGCTGTAATGCAGGAGGTTCTGGGTTCAAAACTGATCTAAATGAGCAAGAAGCATTTTGAGTGTCCTGGCCTGAATTCCTGACCAAAACTCTTTCTAGGTTGTGCACACGGAGCACCAGCACCGCAGCATTCCACTCTATCATTCCAAAAAGGATCATTTGTATATTTCAGTGTTTAGGCTTTTTTCAGTACCATGCCCTAGATCTCAAAGAACATTCTAGACCAGAGGTTCTCCATCTTTTATTTTCTGAGGACTCCCCCCCCCCCAACATGCTACAAAAACTCCACAGCCCACCTGCAGCACAATAACTGTTTTTTTGCATATAAAAGCCAGGTCCGGCATTAGGGGGTAGCAAGCATTGCAATTGCTTGGGGTCCCATGTCACAGGGGCCCCTGTGAAGCTACATAGCTCACGTTTCGACTTCAGCCCTGGGTGGTAGGACTCAGGATCCCGGGCTTCAGCCCCACGCGGTGGGGGTTTGGCTTTCTGCCCTGGCCCCAGCAAGCATAACACTGGCCTTGCTTGATAGCCCCCCTTACACCTGCTCATGGCTCCCAAAGAGGCCCCATACCCCTGGTTGAGAACCACTGTTCTAGACAGAAAAGTTTAATGAGGAGCCTGCCCATAATTTTTCCCCTATCTTCACTAAAAAGGGTTAGGTTTTTCAACTATGTAAAACATTATGGGGGACTCTCAGAAACCTTTCGATCAAGCAATGTCAAAGTTTCCCCAAACTCTATCCCAGCCCCTATCCTTGCATAGCAGTGTTCAAGCTGATCTATGTATGCAGATTTTAGAGAAGATGCAAATTCCATCTGTTAACAGAACCCCATTATTACAGACTTGAACATAAAGCAACTCTCATTACTGCAGAAGGTTATTAAACAGCTATCCTTCTTGGCCGTTCCCAAATATGTGGACATTGGACTAGATGGGACTACCAGGTCTAATCCAGCACAGGGGCATGAAAGGCAAGAGTGAATGGCCACTGGGCCACACAGCTGTAGAGGTCTGATCTGACACAGAAGGGAAACTGGGCTAGCTGGAGTTGTTTTCTTACCAATAGCTAAGCGGGTGGGTTTCTTCCTGGGGGGATCTCCAGCACTGGAGCTACTGTCTTCCTCCTTCTGTTTTAGAGGCAAGGAGAGAGAGGAGACAGTCAATAAGTAGGCCAAACGGTCAGAGAGTAGCCCAAAGCCTGTGGAACTGAGGCAGATACTGCAGGTAGAGAGAGATGGGGCAGGCAGCCAGTACAATAACTAACTGAGTCAAAAAGAAAAGGAGTACTTGTGGCATCTTAGAGACTAACAAATTTATCTGAGCATAAGCTTTTGTGAGCTACAGCTCACTTCACCGGATGCATTCAGTGGAAAATACTGAATGCATCTGATGAAGTGAGCTATAGCTCACAAAAGCTTATGCTCAAACAAATTTGTTAGTCTCTAAGGTGCCACAAGTACTCCTTTTCTTTTTGTGAATACAGACTAACACGGCTGCTACTCTGAAACCTGTCATTAATTGAGTCAGAGCTCCAGAGTTGAGGTCCCATCCGGGGGTCGGGGGAGAAACACAAGGTTGTGTTTCAGATGAGGGAAAACCTCAGGTCTGAGTGAACATGGAGCTGGATCCCTCTTCTCAGACTCAGAGCACATTTGGCAGTGCAGTGTGTCCCCCAGTTCCAAGCACCCCATTCTTACCAGCTTGCGTGTTCTCTTGAGGTGCAGATAGACCCGATGGCCTGTTTTCCCATAGTACTTCTCTACATATTGCTTCCCAAAGCCCAGGAACGTGTTCATACAAATATACAGCCCCCCATCTGACTCCTAGGAGAGAAAGACAGACTGAGAGGGAGACATGTCTCAGAGGGGCCAAAGGAAGATATTCAACAGAACAAAATAGACTTTTTACTTTTAGTATACTGGTTCTAATCCAGCTCCATTCAATGACTGCAAATTATGCCCACGTGTCAGACGTTCAGTGGCTGGTCTGAAAGGAGTTGTCAAGTCTCACTCTAGTTGCAAACAAGATACGCATCTCCCACCACGATGAATGATTTGAAAATCCACTTGCCCGTTTATCCATAGTGGGTAGGAAGCTGAATCGGGCCAGACCCATAAACTTCTGAGGAGATGTAGCCTCATTTAAAGAAGCCTTTAGAACTTACAGTTGCAAAGTATGACCCAGGCAAAACTGATGCAGCTACATCAATCTGTCTCTGCAGATTCATGGATCTAGTGCTACTGGTGCTGCCTCGAGCTTTGTCAAATTGTTGCAGAGTGAAAGTTAACTAGAATCTTGTTTTAGGTTTTACTATTGTTTTGGAACGTTGTGGGCAGCTGTGAAACAGACCAGGACAAGAATCAGGTCAGTCTCACAAGTTGGCAACCTCCCAGCGCCTACAGCACTGATGCTATTTAGAAGTGGTGGGGGAGGACATGAGACACACCTAAACGTGGAGACCAGGAAAGAGACAGAATAGCAGAGAATACCCAATCTGTGTCTCAGCAATCAGAAAGGTGAAATGGAGATAGAAACAAAAAATGGGGTTCAGAATTCAAATGCAGGGCTTGTGGAGGAAAAGAAGAAGGAAAGAGTCTTTCATTTCCTATTGCTTTGGATAGTGGGACCCAAAATCTTTTCATGTCTTTTCATTAGTAGGTTTAATTCTTGTAGTGAGGTGAAGGGAAAAACAGACACTGAAGACAACATAAAAAGATCTAATTATGTGGGGAAAAAAAGAAAGTGGAATAAAGCCAGGAAGAGAGAGAAAAAAGGTAAAAACAAAGTGAGAGACTGGCTGTAAGTTACATGTTTAGCATGTTAGAAATTTGGTTGACAATGTTACAATTTGATACAAGAAAACACATCACACATCTGTACTCATCCATACAAACTGCAATGGCAGTTGCAATGTACAGGGAGAAAAACTTGTTCTACTGCTACTCGGCCTGACCCCAGTCAGAGAATAGAGGCCTCCAATTCCCATGGGCTGCCAATCAAGCACTATAACCAACACTAACTTCCCAATGAAAAAATTGAACCATTTTAGAAATGAGAGTCCGTAACTCCATTGGGTGAACGTGGCTGGAGGGAAGGGGGAAGAGAGGGAGAAGGGACACTGCTCTTTTAATGACACAGCACTGGGGTACCCCCAGCTTTTGGGGCCAGGGAGAACTCTGTGTTCCAACCTACGAGGACATAGGGTCCCTAAGACAAGGTGAGCCCAGGGAGGTTCTGAGGGACTTTAATTTAGGAGCTATGGGGTGGTTCAACCCCTTCAGTTGCCTGCATGTTTAGAAGAAACAGAATGTATTGTCCACACCCCAGGAAAGGGCCTGGCTGTGCCCCCAGGAGGTGATGCAGATCTCCCCCGCAAACTGGGTTCGAAGGTGTGGGTGTAAGAAACAGCAATAACTCCCCCCGCGACCAACTCCCACGAGGGAGAGCGTGCGCCTACAAACCCAGACTCCAGAGGGTGGGCAAGGGGATCAAGAATGAGGTCACTCCCTGTGGAGGTTTCCGGGTGCTGCTAGACTAGCCGGGCTACGCCCACCAGCGTGCACCGCGAGCAGCCCAGCCCAGCCCGCCAGAGATGCCAACAGGGCAGCGGGGCGAGGAGCTCTCCGTGCCGCCCGTGGAGCGACTCTAGTCTCGGGGGCTGCAGCGCGGCCGGTCAGGGCCCTCGGACTCGCTCTGGGGAAGGGGGTCAGCAGACTACAGCTCCCAGCATGCTTCGCACAGCAGAGCCGTCTCGGGTCTGCGCTCCCCATCCCAGCGGGCGCCGAAGGAGCCGGGCCGCCCTGCAGTGAGTCAGCGAGACAAGCGCGCGGAGACGCTGTCAGGGCGGCGAAAAGGCCGGACCCCGCGGGCAGCACTGGGGCGGAGAGAACTACACCCCCCAGCACAGCTCGCCCAGGCATGGGGCCGGGACTCAAGGCTTGCCGGGAGCTGTAGTCCTCACAGCCGCACACTCAACTGAGCTGAACAGAGCCCACACCCACGGAAGACTTCATGTCCCAGCATGCCCCATGCGGGCCAGTCCCCAGGGCCCAGGCGCACTGAGGATCAGGCCGGCGAGCAGGCGGACTCACGGTGAAGGGGGGGACAGCTTACCGGTGTATCGAAGGAAAAGGCGCATTCCTCCTTATGGACCCGGTCCCCAGCCTTGGGCACGCGGATGACCGGCAGCACCGACAGCAACGCCTCACTCAGCTCCGCCATGACAGCGGCTCCCTGCAGCACCGCCCACAGCCCCACCCTGACCAATCACAGACCTTCGTTGTCAGAAACGCGCTAGCCAATCCCGCTCCACGCAGGCGCACAAGCAGAGAGGTGGAGCTACCGTTAACGCTCCGCCCCTTGGCTCCAAGGCCTGCCCTGCTCGCCCTATCAAAATTGCCCTTTGTATACGGACAGGCTCCTAGGACAATCTGGTAGAGACGTCTAAACCTCCAGCCAATGCAAGCGCAAGAGTCCCTTGGGGCGGAGTCGCTGGGAGTTGGACAGCCATACCTGTCGAATGAGGGAAAGCCAATGAGTCACGGAAGCCTGACGACCCCGCCAATAGAAGATGATAAAGGCTAGGCCAGGAAATAGCCAATCAGATTGGGGAAAAAATTAAATTCCAGCGCCTAGGCAACAGAGAGGGAGGAGGTACGGTCTTTATGAATGATGTTGCGCTAAGGGTTTCGCTGTCCCTTAATGGGAGGTTAAGAGGTGGGATTACGCAGTGATTGGCACGGAGATTGGCTAATGAGCGCACGTCATAGGAAGCCTGGTGTATATTGGGGGCGGGAGCCCTCCACCTTCGCCAGGGAGGGAGCGGCAGACAGACGGCTGGCTGGCTGGGCCAATGGGGGCGCGGCGAGGGCGGGAGATTTGAATCGCGGCGGAGGTTGGGCCCGAGGTGAGGCTAGGCGGGCGCTTCCCGCGCGCTGGGGCTGGAGACCCGCGGGGGAGCTGCTGGCGGAGTGTCAGCCGTTCCCGGGCTGTGTGCGCTAGCGGGGTGGGGGGCTGACGGAGTCAGGCCCGGGCGCTGCTGCCCGGCGTCCCTGCCGCAGAGTGGTGAAGGGAGATGCGCGAAGCCAGCCCTGCCCAGCACCTGAGCAGGCGGAGGGCCGCCTCCAGCTGCCCTGCTTAGCAGCGGAGGGGTCGGTGGGTCGCTGCCGCGGGCGGTGCCTGCGGTTAACTCCGCAGTATTTCCATTTTCCTCAGGGCTCCCAGCTGAAGGCGGACTCTGGCGTGGAGGACTCGCCGCTCCTGCTGCCAGCAGCCATGGGGGCTGCTGAGAGCTTCCCAGCTACGCCCACTTCGAAACCCTTCCTCAACAAGCACCTGGCACACGTCAGCGACCCCCGGTCCCCCACACCTGGGATCCTGAGGACCCCCATTGAGGTAAGAGGCGATCACAGGTTCATCCTGCCTGTGCCAGCCCCAGTCAGACTAAAAACAGGACTGTCCAGTCTGGTGTCCTTACCCAGTCCTTCCGCTCCCTACCCCTGCAAATCAGACTCTCTCACTCAGTATGTCTCACCCAGACCAGTGGGCCTGTCTAGTCCTCTGCTGCTCATCTGAGAAGGATCTGAACATCAGTTCTGCTTTGTCTTTGCCCACTATGCATCTGTCTCCCTGCTCTGGTCACAGTGCCTGAGCTATGTCCATTTGTGCCCGACTCCATCTCTTTTTCAGGTGGAGAGCTCCCCTCAGAGAAGCCCCTTGGCTGAGCCCCAGGAAGTGGTGACGGCAGCTGAACAGAGCCAGAGTTGGGACCCTCGATCGCCAACCCTCGGTATCTCACGCACCCCTATGAAGGCTGTGATGGCTGGTAAGTATATGTTTTCTTTTGGAATGTGGCTTGTCGTATGGGCAGATCAGGGTTTCGGGCAGAATCATTGTCTTCATTCCATTTCTTGGGGGCTCTGGGCCTTTCCCTTATGGAGACTGCTCCCCAGACTCCCAGATCCTTCAGGACTGGGGATGGTTCCTGAGCTCCTTTCCCTGGTTCAGTGTACCCTGTTCACACACTGCCTCCTAACCACCACAGTTCCCTCAGGTTTTGTGCCCTCTAGATATTTACAGGTGATTCTTGTTTTATCTTCTTTATTGTTGGCTCTGTTGAGCTGGGTGAACTTAGCTATTGAAGTCTCCCACCAGAATTTCACCACTCTGGCTCCCTGAGCATTTCTTAATTCTTCTCTGAGCACACTTCAGTTTGTCACTACCTTTCTGAGATTGAAGGGTCCAGAGCTGAGTACACTAACTCAGGTGTGGTCTTGCCCCCTCCCCTGGGTCTGATAAGGTGTCTTATCCTCACCTTCTCCCCAGACACCATAAATTGTTTGGTGAAGCAGCTCAGTGAGGCCTTTGGGGCAGAGACCATGGAGCAGGAGTCACTGCTGGAGGAGCCATTAGACCAGGGACCAAATCTTGGAGCTGCCTGTGCTCCAGAGGAGGAGACAAATGGAAAGAACCTTCGGGGGGAAGGCTCTGCCAGGGATGCGTCTCAGGAAAAGATCCCCATGTGGGGTGAGGAGAAACAGCCACCTTCCAACACTTGTACTCAGCCTTTAATGAGACCAGCTCGCTTCACTGACCCACCCCGCACCTCAGGTAAGTGTATGGGTTTGGGGCCTCCCCTGGTGTGGGGATTGGACTTCTGGGGAACTGACAGGGGTCTCTGTTGTGGTCACCCAATGGAGGATATGATTAAGGAGGTGAGAGGGGCCAGGATGTGGAGAGGGTGTCAGTGTGGGGTGAGAGGGGGTCTAGAACAAGTGAGAGGGATCTCCCTCAAAGGTCCTAATGGGGAGTAGTGTGTTTGCATGTGTCCTCAGGAAAAGTGAGTTAATCCTAGAAAGCAGCAGCATTGGCCCCCTCTTACTCCCTGTGCCCCTCACAGCCTGCATGTGGGCAAGGAAATGAGTTTAAGGTTCAGCTGGAATTGTGCAGTCTTGCAGAGGTGTAAGAGTGGAAAACCCCAGGGTCCTAGTCTAGTTCTGAAAGGGGAGAAAATGTGGACAGACAGATGGGTTCAGGACCCAACTCCCCCAACCACATCCCCAGAGCCATTCTGGTTTGCTTCTCCATAACAGTTTTTTGTGCATCTCACCCTGCCCTACAGACACCGGTTGCTGTCTTCATCACCCTACCCTGCTTCCTTCCACCCCTTTATATTCCAGATGAAGCACATCCACTGTCTCCTTTCCCCACCACCAGCCCCATGCTGTTAATTCCCTGCCTGCCCCTCTCTGTTATGTTTTAATTGGCTGTTAAGTCATCAGGACCAGATTGTATTCATCCAAGAGTTCTTAGGGAACTTAAATGTGAAATTGCAGAACTACTAACTGTGGCTTGTAACCTATCATTTAAATCAGCTTTTGTTCCAAATGACTTGAGGATAGCTGATGTAACGCCAATTTTTTAAAAGGGCTCCAGAGATGATCCTGGTAATTACATGGGAGTAAGCCTGGCTTCAGTGCTGGGTAAACTAGTTGAAACTACAGTAACTCCTCACTTAACGTTGTCCCAGTTAACGTTGTTGATCAATTAGAGAACATGCTCATTTAAAGTTGCGAAATGCTCCCTTATAATGTTGTTTGACAGCCGCCTGCTTTGTTCACTGCTTGCAGAAAAAGCAGCCTGTTGGAGCTAGCTGGTGGGGGCTTGGAACCAGGGTGGACCAGCAGCCCCCATCAGCTCCCCCAAGTTCCCTATGCGGCAGCCGCCCAGCAGGCTATCAATTACCGGCAGTTCAGCTGTCCCTCCCACTACTGCCATGTGCTGCTCCTGACTTCTGCCTTGGAGCTTCTCCTGGTTGCTGTGTTGGGGAAAGGGGGGGCTAAGGTCAGTGTGTCCCCCTCCCTCCTGCCCCCGCATGCTTATGCACAGGGCTCAGGACGGAGGAAGCTTGCTGGCAGCAGCTGCTGTCTCAACTTGCTGATCTACTTAAAAAGGCAATGTACTTAGAGTGGGGTCAGCGCACTTAAAGGGGCAATGCGCATCTCCCTCTCTCGCACAGGAGCCAGCAAACAGAGCTGTAAACAGGGGAGTTTGAGTGAGAGTTTGCAAGGGGAGTTTGTGGGGAAGACTAAGAGAGCCAGACAGAGGAACAGACAGGCTAGTGAAGGGAGTGTGTGGTGGTCTGGCAGTGTTTTGGTGCTCGTTGGGGGTTTGTTTTGCTTGGGTGGTGGTGGTTTGGTTTGTGTTTCCCAGTCTAACAGGACTTAAGTGAGAAGGCTATGACAGATACAGAGGCAGCAGTGGTAGTGACCCAAGTAGTGGAAGACATAATGAGGATGACTGGATGTGGAAGCTGTGGCATGTACATGATCCTGGAGGGGGTACCTGAAAAGAGTTTCATCTGCATGAAGTGCCACCTGATAGAGCTGATGGAAGAAAAGATCTGAGGATTGGAGATGCAGGTAGAAACTCTGGTCGAGTTTAGAAGGGGGTTCGCGCGGATGATGGAGCAAAGACATGAGAGGCTGAAGGGAAAAGCTCAGACTTGCAGATGGAAGCAGGACCAAAGAACTCTGAGGGGAGACTGCTGGGTGAGGAGAGTGGACAGTGGAAACATGTGACTAAGAGAACCAGGCAGAGGAAAAGACGGGCTAGTGAAGGAGAAATAGAACTCAGGAACAGGTTTGCGGAGTTGGAAAATGAAGAAGGGGCACCGCAGGTGGTCACTGAAGGTGAGAGGGCAAGGAAGAAAAGAGCAGCTAGTCCTATAGGAAGAGGGGAAGAGTCAATAGAGAGAACACCAAAAATGAGCCCCAGGAGGATACAGGATGGATTGCAGAGAATTGCAAGGGACAATAGGAATCGAGAGGACTTGCAGCCAGAGGGAACAGGGGATAGACCGCAGAATCGCACCATCACCAGGAAAAGGCAGGACTACGTGATTGGGGACTCCTTACTGAGAAGAAATAGACAGGCCTGTAACCAGAGCTGATCCAAAGAACAGAAGGGTGTGCTGTCTGCCAGGTGCTAAGATACGGGATGTGGACCTGAGGCTGAAGAGGATCCTAACGGGAAAGAATCCACTGATTGTCCTTCATGTGGGAACAAATGATACTACTAGATTCTCACTGAAACGTATCAAGGGATACTATGCCAGACTGGGGAAGACACTTAAGGAAATCGAGGCTCAGGTGATCTTCAGTGGGATTCTGCCTGTTCCTAGAGAAGGGCAACAAAGGTGTGACAAGATTATGATGATCAACAGATGGCTCAGGCAGTGGTGCTATAAGGAGGGGTTTGGGATGTTTGGCCACTGGGAAGCATTCCTGGACAGAGGACTGTTCTCTCGGGATGGACTTCACCTGAGTAGGGAGGGAAATGGACTTATGGCTGGAGTCTGGCACAACTGATTAAGAGAACTTTAAACTAGGAATCTGGGGGAGATGGTTGGGAGAGGTCCAGGTAATCTCCACGCCGGATTTTAACATTGAGAGGGAAGAAAATGAAATAAAGGATACAGCCATGGATAGGAGAATGGACATAAGGAGGAAGGGTAGTGTAGATACCAGTCTAATAGGTGATATTGGCAGTAGAATGTCTGTGCCTAATAGGGTAAAGAATGTGAGAGAAGACAAACAGCAAAAATTAAGATGTTTGTATACTAATGCGAGGAGCCTAGGTAACAAAATGGAGGAACTAGAGCTATTGGTGCAGTAAGTGAAACCAGATATAGGGGTAAACAGAAACACGGTGGAATAGTAGTCATGACTGGAATACGGGTATTGAAGGGTATGTGCTATTTAGGGAAGACAGAAATAAAGGCAAAGGTGGTGGAGTAGCATTGTATATCAATGATGAGGTAGACTGCAAAGAAATAAGTGATGGAATGGATAAGACAGTGTCTGTCTGGGCAAAAATCACAATGGAGAAGAAAGCTACTAGAGCCTCCCCTGGGATAGTGCTTGGGGTGTGCTATAGACCGCCGATATCCAATTTGGATATGGATAGAGACCTCTTTAATGTTTTTAATTAAGTAAATACTAATGGGAATTATGTGATCGTGGTAGATTTTAACTTCCCAGATACAGACTGGAGGACAAGTGCTAGTAACCATAATAGGGCTCAGATTTTCCTGGATGCGATAGCTGATGGACTCCTTCACCAAGTTGTTGCTGAACAAACAAGAGGGGATGCCATTTTAGATTTGATTTTGGTGAGTAGTGAGGACCTCATAGAAGAAATGGTTGTAGGGGACAACCTTGGTTCGAGTGATCATGAGCTAATTCAGTTCAAACTAAATGGAAGGATAAACAAAAATAAATCTGATTAGGGCTTTTGATTTCAAAAGGGCTAATGTTAAAAAATTAAGGAAACTAGTTAGGGAAGTGGATTGGACTGAAGAATTTGTGGATCTAAAGGCGGAGGAGGCCTGGAATTACTTCAAGTCAAGGTTGCAGAAACTATCCAAAGCCTGCATCCCAAGAAAAGGGAAAAAACTTATAGGCAGGAGTTGTAGACCAAGCTGGATGAGCAAGCATCTTGGAGAGGTGATTTAAGAAAAAGCAGAAAGCCTACAAGGAGTGGAAGATGGGAGGGATCAGCAAGGAAAGCTACCTTATTGAGGTCAGAACATGTAGGGATAAAGTGAGAGAGGCCCAAAAGCCATGTAGAGTTGGACCTTGCAAAGGGAATTAAAACCAGTAGTAAAAGGTTCCATAGCCATATAAATAAGAAGAAAACAAAGAAAGAAGAAGTGGGACCGCTAAACACTGAGGATGGAGTGGAGGTTAATGATGATTTAGGCATGGCCCAATATCTAAACAAATACTTTGCCTCAGTCTTTAATGAGGAGCTTAGGGATAATGGTAGGCTGACAAATGGGAATGAGATATGGAGGTAGATATTACCACATCCGAGGTAGAAGCCAAACTCTAACAGCTTAATGGGACTAAATCAGGGGGCCCAGATAATATTCATCCAAGAATATTAAAGGAACTGGCACATGAAATTGCAAGCCCATTAGCAAGAATTTGTCATGAATCTGTAAACTCAGGGGTTGTAACGTATGACTGGAGAATTGTTAACATCGTTCCTATTTTTAAGAAAGGGGGAAAAAAGTGATCCGGATAACTACAGGTCTATTAGTTTGACATCTGTAGTATGCAAGGTCTTGGAAAAATTCTTGAAGGAGAAAGAAGCTAAGGACATTGAGATCAATGGTAATTGGAACAAAATACAACATGGTTTTACAAAAGGTAGATCATGCCAAACCGACCTGATCTCCTTCTTTGAGAAGGTAACAGATTTTTTTTGACAAAGGAAACGCAGTGGATTTACTTCAATTTCAGTAAGGCATTTGATACAGTTCCACAGGGGGAATTATTAGCTAAATTGAAAGAGATGGGGATCAATATGAAAACTGAAAGGTGGATAAGGAACTGGTTAAAGGGGAGACTACAACGGGTCATACTGAAAGGTGAACTGCCAGGCTGGAAGGAGGTTACTAGCAGAGTTCCTCGGATTGGTTTTGGGACCAATCTTATTTAATCTTTTTATTACTGACCTTGGCACAAAAAGTGGGAATGTGCTAATAAAGTTTGCAGATGACACGAAGCTGGGAGGTATTGCCAATACAGAGAGGCACCGGAATA